ACCTTGGTTTGCTGACTTGGTTAATTATTTGGTATTAGGATTGATTCCTGATTATTTGTCTCCATTTCAGGTGAAGAAGCTCAAGAGAGAAGCCCAGTACTATGTATGGGATGAACCACACCTGTGGAGAATCTACAATGACCAGATCATTAGAAAATGTGTACCAGAGACAGAATTTCAATCTATCCTCTCTGCCTGCCATTCATTGAGTTGTGGGGGACACTTTAGTGCTAAAAAGACCTCTAGGAAAGTATTAGATGCTGGATTTTACTGGCCAACTTTGTTTAAGGATGCTTATTTATACTGTAAGGCATGTGATAAATGCCAGAGGTTTGGGGGGCTAGGTAAAAGGCATGAAATGCCACAGCACCATATGTTATTCTGTGAGGTATTTGATGTTTGGAGAATTGATTTTATGGGTCCTTTCCACCGTCTGCAGGTTTTAATTACATCTTGTTAGCAGTAGATTACCTATCTAGGTGGGTAGAGGCCATCCCTACTAGGAAAGATGACGGCCAAACGGTCTCCAAGTTTCTTAAGTCTATCTTTTGTAGATTTGGGGTACCAAGGGCTATAATAAGTGACAGAGGTACCCATTTTTGTAATCGGATTATCAACAGTTTGCTTGCAAAGTTTGGGGTTACCCATAAAACATCCACTGCTTATCATCCACAAACAAATGGGCAAGCAGAAGTTTCTAATAGAGAAATTAAGCAGATCTTAGAAAAGATAGTGAAACCTTCGAGAAAGGATTGGAGCTTGAGGTTGGAAGAAGCACTCTGGGCATATAGAACTGCCTTCAAAACACCGATAGGAATGTCCCCATACCGGCTTGTTTATGGGAAAGCATGTCATATTCCGGTTGAACTGGAGCATAAGACCTACTGGGCAGTGAAGATGTGCAATATGGACCTAGAGGAATCTGGTCTGGACAGGAAGTTGCAGTTACAGGAACTAGAAGAGATGCGATTGGACGCTTATGAGAGTTCCCGCATATATAAAGAGAAAACCAAGCAGATTCATGACCAAAAGATACTGCGAAAGCACTTTCAAGCTGGTGACCAAGTACTACTTTTCAAGGCCCGATTTGCACTCAAACCAGGAAAGTTTAAAACCCGTTGGGATGGGCCATACAAAGTCACCAAAGTGCATGACTTCGGGACGATAGAGCTACTTGATGAGGCAAGTGGATCAGAATTCAAAGTCAACGGACACCTTCTCAAGCTCTACCACGACAGTACAAAACCTCCATGAGGCCAGGTTGTCCCTTTCCTCTCTCTATCTCTCATATCATGCATATGTCTGCCTGTGAAATGTTTTGAACATGAATGTTTGAGATAAGTGTGGGGGGAGGGCCATTCCAGTAGTAGTAGTTAGGATTAGTTTTTTTTTTTTTCTTCCTTTCCCCTTCTTGTTAGTTAATAAATGCTCCAAGCTTTCTGCTTTATCCACTCAACACTTAGTCTTTACATAGGAGTCTGGTAAGGATAGTGTGTTTTGAAATACATTGAGGACAATGTATTGGCTAAGTGTGGGGGAGGACCTCCATGTTCTACATTTGTGAGCCTTTCTATTTCACATTGAAATTCTTTGATTGATTGAGCCCTACTAATTCTGCCATTAGTATTGGTGATTCTGTTGCTCACTATGCCCCGTACTTTGACTATTGCTACTCTGTTTTGAAAAAAAAAAAAAACAAAGAGACTTTCACTAGTTTAATTTTGAGTTATGCTTGTTCATGATTGAATATAATGCTTTGATTTATGATACTCCTACAGCTAATAATTTGAGTAGTTTGATTAATGCTTTGTGATTAGTTTAGTGTCTAATTGACCAATGTGAGTGAACATGAGAGAATAAACCTTGTTGGAAGATTTTTGGGCCTAATTTCCTTTCTTTGTGTGTGACTATCCACTTAATTTTTCATTCTGCAGAACTTGTTTCAACTCTTAGTCTAATTACATTGTGATTATATGATAAAAGTGATTGAGGCATTCATATTTATAACCCTATTATCCCAAACACAAACCTCTATCATTTTTTATCCATTGCATACCCCTTTTGAGCCTTCACTTTCTTTTTATTCTCGTTTTCGACAAGCGACAATGCATGTACATCTCAATTGCATTCTCAAAGCATCTTAACATACTCATGGCTTGTCATATCATAGAATGTTGCTACTATCTTTCATAATGTGTATGAATGCCAATTTCAAAAAAAAAAAGAAAAACAAGAGAAAAAAAGAGAGGAGTGAGAAAAAAAAGTTGAATATGAAAAAAAAACAAAAAAATAGAAAAAGAATAGAAAAGTAAAAAGAAAAGGAAAAAAAAAAAGAAGTATGGGAAATAAGGCATTCCTTTGGATTCTGTGAAGTAGCAAAAGTAGCTCTGTGAGACATGATTTTATGAAATATCTAGTGGTATTTAAGATGCTTATCATTCATATGTGCATGCATAGTTCTTGTCATTTTTCTCATTCATTCCATGTGGCCTAATTCCATCATTACAACCCTTTAAAGTCCTCATGATTTATTGTATAATTGTGGTAGTAATTGAGACAGTAGAGTTGTTACAAGCCTATGATAGAATGTGAATTAAGTAGATCTGAGTGAAAATTACCCCAATGAGGCGACATGAGTGAAACACTATTATCCTTGAGAGCTTTCTCTCATTTATTCACTGTCAAGGTTGATTACATACTTGACTAATCTTTTGCATTAGTTTTAACTATGAATTTTGCTAGTTTGTTGGATGTCATTGATTGGGCTATTATACTCTTTCCATGAATTTGTATAACTCTTTAATTGCTCTTGGTGTTAGTCTTAGTTTTTCATGAAATTGATTGTTTTGCCCCGGAGTGCAAAAGTTCAAGTGTGGGGGAGTTGATAAATCCTGATTTTAATATATTGTTTGATATCTTTTTAGAGATATTTATCAATTAAAGTGGGATAAATTGCATTGATTGTAGATATTTTGAATCAAATATTGATTGAATGAAATTAGAGATTTAATAGGAGATCTTATCATATTTTTATCTCTTTTTAAATAATTGATTTTGGATTTGGTGATAGTATCTCAATTTATCTTTTGCAGGCCTTAAAAAAATAAGGAAATAAAGATAATGAGAAAATTGAAAGAAAGGAAATAAAAAAAATACAAAAAAAAAAGAAAATTGGAGACATAGCTTGGATGGCATCAGATTATGATATTATCTGTATTTTTATGGATTCAAAAAGAGGATACAGAAATTATCCAGACGCCTATCCTTCAGATTTGATTTGGATATATATTATATCTCTTCCTTCACGCAGGTATCACGGCTGCCCCCCCTTATTCCATTCCTATATATACCACCGTACACACACTCATATTCACGCCTCACACCACCGACTCGTAGTCGTCAAAACCTTCAGATCCTCTCACGCATACACACCACCACACCTCACTCACACAAGCCTTCAGCTCCTCTCCGCATATACCCACCCAGTTCTCACGCAATCACAAGCGGCGCACCCATTCAATTCTCATATTCCCCCTTCGGCCAAAGACGCACTTCACCCATAGTGGCGCATTGTCCACCTATTCCACAGGCTTCATTATCATCATTCATCTCTTCCATAACTATCATCAACACCGTCGGCCCTTATTATTTGTATTCTTCTACAAATAATCTTCACACCCACTTTCTCACCAAAGTCTCCATGAATTCTCATTGCTTCAAAAATATTGTGGATTCTTCTAGAGCTATGAGAGGCTAATTCCATTGTGCTTCTTGAAGATGGAGGAGTAGCTTGAGCTTGGAGCTTCAACTAGGGGAGTATTTAGTTTTCCAATTAATTTTCTTCTGGACTTCATTAGATTTTTCCTGTGTTAGGAATATTTCATTTGATTTGGAGACTGAGATTATGTGTTATAATTTCTGTTAATTGGATTTTTGCAATTTAATTTGAGTTGTATTACTTGGGATTTGAATTCATATATATTTCCTTTGCATTCATTAAAATTATCTTATCTGGCGCGTTTAGATTTTATGATTGAGATGTATTGCAATTGAGTGTCTCCGTGAGCATTCTTTGAGAGGGAAACAAGTTTTATTAACTCAATTTAAATTGCACATCAAGTGGTTTTTAAAAGTAACTTAATAACTTGATTACTATTTAGCGTTTAGGGCAGTTAAGTGTTAAGTTTACTTGACCCAAACCATGTTTGGGGTTGTTTTTCTTAACTTGGTGAATTATTTTACTCCCATATCTTTTATTAAGCAAGGATAGCTACATTCTGTTTTCAAGAAGCATTCTCATTACTGATTTTCTAAAATTCAAATTTGCATTTTTCATTCTTTCTTTATTAAAAATACCCAAAAAAAAATAGTTTAGATTTATTTCTTATTTTCATAATTAGTTTTATTAATTGAAAAATCATTTTCCAACCCCCCTTTTTATTCTTTATCACTTAGTTAACTTAGGAATTAATAAAAGGCTCCTCAAGAGACTCGACCCGAGTTGTGCTTTACTGCATAATTTGGTTTTATTTTTGATTTAACCCAAGGCGACTAAAAAGGTCTAAATCAGAGATAACAAAAAAACTGGTGAGTGTTAGATAATTGCTGTATTCAGAAGATTAATTGATTAATTCTTCTTTTGATTATATATAATATTTTATTTATATCTAGTTGCTTGCGATGGGAAAGCTGTTCGTGAAAGTAGCATTTACAAAATTTCGTTCCAAGATGGAAAACGACATCCTTCTACAGCCTAATGGGTGAGTGAACAATTACTATTGTATAAAATTATATAAACTTTACTAGAAAAAGTTTTTATCATAACCTTATCATATATATATATATATATTTATACGTTTTAATTTGTAGATTTGACTGTGGCATCTTTGTTGTGAAGTTCATGGAACAGTCACATAATTATGTGAAGGGAAATTCTTTATTTCAGGTACGACCTCTTGCAAAGATATTAGTCATAGACTCATATGGGTAAGCACTTACACATGCCCACGCGAGCACTCTCTTTTAGTCATATAGTAAACGATACGGACAATTATATGCAGTTTGACAGTAAAAAAGAAAGGGAGGATTTGGCTTCAAAGTTGCTCAACAGTGACCTCAACCAAGAAAAACAAAATCTATATGACAAAGCAAGACGGCACTATGCACAAGTTGAACAGAAGGATGGCAATAAAAGGTTACGCACTGACAGAGTGAATAAATCTGATAGTTTAGAAAAAGGTACGAGTATCAGCAGATAAAATGTATATCCAACTCCATTTATTTGTCATTTATGAAAATGGATTAAAATTAGTTGACGTTTTTAAACTTTAAAAAATTGTCCTAAACATTTTTGGCCAAAAAAATTGTCATAACTACCAGTATTTCTCTTCGCCACTCTCTTCTCTATAACTTATTGTATTAGTTAATGAGGGACAAGTGGGGAAAAAATATTTAATGCTGCCTAAATTCTGTGGTGACTTACATTTTGAATGCTCGAAAATTTTCAAATTTCGATTTACACATAGGGACGGATAGAGTATATACATATATTGATATATATGACTACTTAAAATTTGAATGCCATATACTTAGCTTAATTTTTTATATATTCTTCTTACTCTCTTTACTTAATTATTCATTACTGTTCTTGTTGCTAGGATCTTCCAAAGGTTATACATTGCCTACGACAGATTTAATAGGTTGTGATTTTCAAAGGAATATTCAAGGTATATGGAAATGGATAATGGATGACACGGTGTCAGCAATTGGAATTTGGGGAATGGGAGGGTCTAGAAAAACAGCCTTAGCAACCCATATACATAACAAGCTTATTTTGGAAGAAGCTAGTAGTGACATTAGAGTTATTTGGGTAACTGTATCACAAAATAGCATCTTGCATTTGCAAAAAGTGATAGCCAAATCAATTGATCTGGATATATCTAATGAGTTTGAGGTTAAAAGAGTTGTCGGGAAATTATTTCAAGCATTTGAAGAGATGAACAAATGTGTTATTATTTTAGATGATGTTTGGAATCATTTCTTTCTAAAGGACGTTGGATTTCTTATGTCAGATAATCGAATTAAATTGATTTTGACCACCCGTATATGGAATGTGTGTCAAGGTATGGGTTGTAAGAAGGTAATAGAAGTGGCGCCTCTAGATGAAGAAGAGAGTTGGGATTTGTTTAATGAGTTTTTGGGATCCTTCCGTGAAGAACTGTCTTCAGAAGTGGAAAATATTGCACAGAATGTGGCACAAGCATGTGAGGGTTTTCCCCCTAGTCATTGTTAGAATCGCGACAAGCATGAAAGGGGAAACGGAAGCTGGAGAGTGGAGACATATGTTGGAATGTCTTGAAAACTTGGACAATGGGCAATATGAAGTGGACAAATAGGTATTTCCAATTTTGAGATCTAGCTATGATTTCTTAAATAACAAATTGCAAAGATTCTTCTTGTATTTTGCTTTAAGTACCAATGGAATTTCTGACGCCGATGAGATTGATCGTTGGATAAGAAGATTTGTTTATGAAAATATAGATGAGACAAAGAAGTTGATGGTGCAGTATAACGAAGGTGATAACATTTTGTATAAATTAGAGAATCATAGCATGTTGGACAATGATTATCCTTTTCGATGGGTGATAAACAAATTTCTTAGAGCCCTTGCTATTCGTATTGCAGACGAAACTTGTAAAATTATGGGAAAAGCTTATAAGAATTTGACAGAAATACCAAGTGATGACCAATGGAAAGAAGAGATCTACAAAAGGTTTTTCTGACGAGAAACAACATGCAAACAATTCCAAATGGAACATGTCCCAAGTGTTCTCAACTTTCGATGTTGCTTTTGGATTGTAATGCATTTCTCAACCATATTCCAGATGAGTTTTTCAACAATATGCCTGCTCTTAAGGTACTTGATTTGTCTGACACTATGATTGAGCGTTTGCCTACATCGTTGTTCAACTTGAAATGTCTGACTGTATTATTACTCTCAGGATGTGCAAAATTGAGTTACATTCCTTCACTAGGAAAATTGAAACGGTTAATATCATTGGATCTATCTTCTACTGCCATCACTGAAGCACCTACGGGCTTGGAATCCTTGGTCAATCTTAGATGCCTACATCTACTCCCTATAGAAAAGCTGAAAATGTCAGCATCTCTCCTATCCAAATTGATCAATTTAGAGTGTCTTGAGGTGGATTGGGCCGAATGGTCAACGGATGCGAGAGGACAAGGTACAAGAGGTCTGAAAAAGTTGGAAGTAGTAGCCCATTTTCGTGACATTAGCGTATTCAATAACTTTGTGAGCTTCCTGACCCATAATTGTGTAAGAAGCTATCGATTGACTTTACAGGATGCAAAATACTATGTTGATCGGTGCTCTTTTCATCAATCTCATAGAGAATATTCCGTGAAAAAGATACTTATTAAGGATATGGTCTTGGGAAGTGAAAAAGTAATACTCCCAGGGGACATCGAGAAGTTGGTTATCAAGAATTACCGCCAAGGGACAGGTAATAGATCCCTATGCAGTGTTTTATCGTATGGCCACAACAATAAGCCATCCCAAACCGAATTGTTGGAAATCAACTTATCTAGTGATTTGCAGTTCTTGTATTGTTGTAATTGCCCCTTTTGCTTCTCTACTCAACTTGTTGGATGTCTCAAGATCACTGCTGTAAAATTGAAAGATTTAGTGTCACCATATGCTGATTCCTTGCATCAATCCACCCTATTTTCTCATCTCACAGATCTCAGTATTTGGGGATGCAACAGCATGGAGGCTCTGATGACACCCAAGTTATTGGCACACCTACAAAACTTGCGCACCATCTCTGTTGTTGCTTGTCGGCAGATGAAAGAAATGGTTGGAGCTGAAGAGGATCATTCTAGTGGCGACCTGATGGTCCTTCTGTGTAACCATCTTCCTCACCCTACTGTCACTCTTCCCAAGTTGACATCTCTCAAATTACATTCCATGCCACAATTAGATTTCGTATACAGAGGCACCATGCTCTGCCCTTCCCTCCAAACATTCTCTGCTATGTATTGCGAGCAACTAAATCACCCTCAGATGGCGATCTCAAATGATGGAGGTGGGCTTCTGATGGAGAAGACCCCAACTGGATACTGTTGGCGAATTAATATTGACCAACCAGTTCCATATCTGACTTCTTTTAAATTCTGTTGATGATTCTGATTAAATCTCAGCAATTTATGGATATTGTTACTGTTTAATGACACAGTGACGAACTTTGAAAACCTAAAATTAATTTGTATTAGGGCCAAATAATCATGTGTTTCTTTATTGTTTATTTCTCTCTGCCTGCTTGTGTTGTACTTGATTTTTGTGATCACCACTAACCTTGCACGCTCATATCAATTTTAAAATTGCTGCCAATAAAAAAAATATTAATGTTCCAATAATTGAAATTTTTTTGTTATAAATTATATCAAATAGAAATAAATCATAAATTATCACATGATCATCTCTTGATGTGTTTTATTTGAATGCTCAAAGTGTGCACTACACAATACAGGATGTTAATTATTGTGAATATATTTCATCTCCTAAGTTCCTAATGATATTGTCAGTTATTCAATCAGTCACAAAGTATAGTTGCAAAGTTGTTTTTGACATGTGTAACATCCCGATCGAATGTTTAAATTTTAGGAGAACTAGGAAAATAAATTTATTAAAATTATTTAAAGCCTAAGAAAATTTGAGAGAAATTATGGAACATTAATTTCAAGGACCTAGAAATTTTATAGAAAAGTTTATTTCCTCGAAAAGTGGCTTAAACAAATTGAAAGTTAATTTTTGGAGTTAAAAAGACCTATTTTTTTGAAAATTCAAAGAAAATGGTTCGAGGTTTATATTTGAGATAAGAATTTTAGAATAATTATTCTATGAGTAAAGAAGCTAATTGGGACATAAAATCCTTAAATGAATTAAAGATTAATTTCTAAGATTAAGGTTCATTTTTTCAAAAAGTTCAAGAAAATAGTTAGGAATTGATTTTTAATCCCGAATTTTAGAAAAATTATTTTATGAGCTAAATAAGCTAATAGAAAAGGAAAATCCACATAAAATATGATGGATTAATTTTTGGATTTGTTTTATATTTCAGAAATTAGTTGAAAGGATGAAAGTGAATACAAAACTTGATGATCATTTTTCACCTTTTTTTTTTGGAAATTTGATTAAACCCATCTGCTCCCCTTTCCATCATTTCGGCTGGAACCAGAGAGAAAAAGAAAGCCAAGAGAAACGTGAGGGTGAGAGGGGGACCGTGAGAACAGAAGCCGTCCGAGTAGTGATCGGTGGCCGTTTCCTTGCATGCCCTGCTTAGTTTCTGAACAAGGTGAGTCCTCTGATCATCATTCTACTCTTCTTTCTTCGGTTTGCCAAATGTTTGAAGAGTTAATGAAGAAAGAAGTTTGGGTTCTGGCGAGAGAAACTCTTGGTTAAGTGCGAAACTTGATGATGAGGAAAGAGTAGTGTTTGTTGATGATAATAAAGCACTACTTTCAGTACTTAATATAAGACCTTATTTGATTTTTATTTTGATTCTAAATATAAGATTCCAATCCATTTTATTTCTCATATTTATATTTTTTGTTCAAAATAGTTTTTCTAATAATAATAGTTCTAGTCAATACACTTGATTAGTAAAGATATTTTAAGAAAGGACAGATAACTAACTTAATTTATTTTTTTAATCTTTTCAAATTAGTCAACTGACTCTTATAATTAGGGTAGGAGGTAGTATGATTTTTTAGCTTGCATGTGGATTTCCTTGCTCTGTTTTTGGTTGGCCGAAACAGGGGAAAGAAGGTTGTTTGAATTTTTAGCTCACAGTCTATTAAAATCAAGACCCATGACAGTAAAAATCTCATTGCATGTGAGTATGTTGGATTGCATGTTGTTTTCTTCTTTCGTTTGGTGGATAATGCGACTAAAAGGGGAGCAGAACTTGGACTCCTTTCCTTATGCGTGTTGTGATGCTGTTAAGGGAGATTAGATGGATCAATGAGTGTGATAATTTGAATGATCAATTTGAATTTGAATATATAGCTATAAATCTGGAAAATTTCCAGATCTGGAGTAAAAGTTATATGTGTTAGAGGACAATCAAATTGATTGTATATAAGGCAAATCTCAAGAGGTTGAATGTGATCAAGTGCTAATCACAAGAGGTTAAATAGAATGAGTAACTTTGGAAACTAGGAATTAGTTTGAAATTTTTGTCTAATGATCCTAAAAATGTTTTGCACTTATTTTGGATTGTCAAAGTTGTCTAGAGGTGTTAAAGTATGGTTTGATTATTATCTTACACCTGGAAAATTTTTAGATTAAGGTTAAAGTTGCTCAAGTGAAAAAAAAGAAGGAAAAGAAGTTTATATATGGTAATCGGATTTTATACATATAAACTTATATACGTAAGCAAGTATTGATTTTAAAGAAATATTGTGGTTAGATGAAGGTTTAGTATTTAATAAGTACAAAGATGGTTCTGTATGCTAAGTAATTAACCTAGCTAAATCAATTCTGTTTAGAAGCTGGAATGTAAGTTAAAAAAAAAAAAAACTTAGGCTTTAGTTGCCCGAAACCTGTGGTGCCCACTGTGCACCCCCTGTTATAATATAATATATATATATATATAATATGTATAGTGTATATTAAAATATAATATAATATAATATATATATACCCACCCTTGAGAATGTGGTGCCACTGTGCACCCCCTGTTATAATATAATATTATATATATATATGTACCTAGCCTCTTTACCCGTACGGGTCTTCCTTTATCCCTTGCTTGGATTGAGGGAAAATTAAGGAGGAAAGAAAATAAAAGAAAAAAAACATGAGAAGAAACAACTTTTCTCTTACTTGAATAGGAGAGAAAATATGGAAGAAAGGAAAAGTAGAGAGAAAATAAGACAGAAAATGAGGTGGGTCCCATGTCTCATTTTCTCTCCAAATTTTCTCTCCTTATACGGAAAGATTTGGGAAGGAAAACAAGATTTTCATAACTACTCCTATCATCTCTTACTTTCCATATTTATTTTCTTTTATTATATTTAAAAATTTATTTATTTTTTATTTTTAATCTTAAAACAATATTTTTATTAAATAATTTGGCTTTAAAATATAATAATCTGAAAATATATATCAACCAAGTAACTTGATTTTAATCATTTGATGATGCCAATGTTAGTATAATCTTTCTATCACAATATTTAATTTAATTTAATTTTAAATATGATATATTTAATAAGGACATTTTAGTCATTTAAATATTTATTAATTTTCTTTCCTCTCTATTTTCTCTCATCTATCCAAGTAAGATGGATGATAACATTTTCTTTTTAGTTTTTCCTTTTCTCTATTTTTTCTCCTCCTAACTTTTTTCCCCATCCAAGCAGAGCATTCGTGATTTGCAGTAGTGCCTTTTTTTTTTTTTTTTTAATTACACACCCTGTCTTAAACCTCCTCACAGGAGGGAGTACTCACGCACCCAAGGACCTCACCCGCGCACATACTCCTAGCCGCATGGGTCCTCGACAAGAGAGGTGGGATGATGCCATTTGAGCCCAGGCTATTGGCTACGTAGTAATGTATTCTATATGCTCCTCTGACCATGTTCATAAAGTCGATAAAAAAAAGATATTTTTTTAGTCACATTTTATAAGTACATTATTAAAATTTTTTCATTAGTGTATAATCTTTTATTTTGTTGAAAAGTATACACACACTACATCCGGTACTATAAGAACTACATAACTAATTTAAAAAAATTAAAAAAATTAGTTAAATTAATTATTTGAAAGAAATGTGTATTTACTTTCTTAAACTACCATATTCAATCATTTATATTGGAATTACTTTTTGGTGAAAACTCCTAATAATTTATAGAGATATTTTAAAAAATGTTATAAATTTGGGAAACAAAATAGATTAGGTCTTATATTTAAGATTAAATTTAAAACCCTAATTAGATCTTATAATTAGTATTAAAAGTAGTATGTATATATTAAATGGGAATACAGTTAAAAAGTTATTAAATCTTAGGCATAACTAAAAAGATTTAAGATTTTTCTTAATTTTATTGAAACTTATTGAAAATAACTTACAAATAATATTAAAATAGCATATAAGAAAGTGTGACACTAAAAGAAAAAACTGAAATCATTTTTTTGCCGAGAGCAATTCCACACTATGTCAAGTCAGAAAAGTTGAATCATTCTTGTGAAGAAAGAGTTTAGTACAAGCGTAGCATTTTGATGATTACTTCCCATCATGTAATATTAATAATGACAAAAAAAAACGTTTTGAAATCTAAAAAAGAGTAATAACTAGTCAGTGGGCCAAAGCTAATCAAACAATTATATTTAGATTAGTGACGACAAAACTAACTTTTATTTCAATTGAGTTTTACAAACGTGAGTTGGAATAAAAATTAGTTAATGTAATGTGATTTATATTTAGATTGATACTTATAAAAAGTTAGTTTAAAAAGTTAAAATTTATTTAAATAATTAATAAAAAATAAGTTTAAATGTAAAATAACTTAAAAGAATATGGATTATATTAAATATACATATTTATATTATATGTATATAATGTGATAATTTTAAAAAAATATTAAAATTAATTATGGGAATGACTTAAAAAGATTCCATGTGTCATTGGAAAGTTTGTAAAATATATTTGTCATATTTTAGTTAAAAAGTTAATATTAATAATTTTTTATTTTAATTAGTCAAACGTAAAAGTGAAAATAAAAATAAAAATTGTTAATTAGTGAATTGTTTTAATTGTTTTGGGTAGAGACCATTAGTTACACAAATAATAGTATCTAAAAACAAAATAAAATAGTAACAATAGAGCTAGTGGTGGGTTCAAGGACCAACGTGCCATTCTTAAAAGAACTGACTTCTGACTGGCTAGTATTTTACCAACCTAGCACCCGCCAACCCCCCTTTTTTATTTTATCTTTTGATTTTCTTTTAATAAAATCTATTCCAATTCCTAAATACCTAAAATGATGCATCCAAATAAAAATTGTCATAAATAAAACATGAAATCCAAAATTCCAAACATCCCAAAATATTAAACGTACATGATATAGATGATAAACATATATTCCAAACTAAAACATAAAAAATCCAAATCAATAATAACATAAATATAATACTACAAATCACTATCAAGTGCTTAATCATGAGCCATTATTCAATATTAATAGGGTTCAAAGTATGATTTGAAGATATAAAATTATTTGGTTGAGCTTGAGAGGTAGAACCACACTCTTTTTACTCAATTAACTCTACCACAAATAAAATTCATCATACAAAATGAAAAAATATTATATTATGATAATTTTAAATAATGAGAATGAGATAAAGGACTAAAAGAGTGAACATAATTATATTTAAAGAGTGGTGAAAATTTTTCTAAAAAAGAGAGGTGAAAATTTTTTAAAAATAAAATAAAATAAAATAAAAATGGGCTGACCTATCAATCATACAAGTTAGCCTATGACGAATTTAGTCTTTGATAGTTACGAATTTAAAAAATCTATTTTAAAATAAGTCTAATTTTTATCAACTCAACCCACTACTTTCTCGTGGGTTGAAACTAGACCCATATTAGTGGCTATAAGCGACAGGCACTAATATAACATGAGTGTGAAGGAGAAGGTGAGCATGTGAAAATTTTTAATGCCGCCGGGGATGGGAGTTTTCTCATTAATGCTGACCCCAACAAAAAAAAAAAATCACAAATGAGTTTCAAAAACCTAAATTCCACAACTTTCTAGACAACCTTAGACGCTTCTCACAGGTGCTAAGCTGTCCCTTCTCATCTACCATTCTGACAGTACTAGTCAACTCGATCCAGCTGTGGACTGTACGTTCTGATCATTTCAGCCCCATCTTCCCCAAATCCCCGAAGTCCTTAACGATATGCCTATTCTTTCTTTGTCCATCTGTGGACACGTTTTCCTCTGTGTTGACTCATCGTCCGTCCTGTTTCAATCCACAACTTGAATTAGCATCCTGTAAGTTTTTCTCTTTGCTCTGCTTTCCATTGTGATTTTCATCTTCGTTTGTTTGTTACTATCTGAATCTGCCTTTGCACAATTATTCATTCTCTGCTTTTAACTTAGATTCAAGATTGATCAATCTCTGAAGTAGCGCTGCGCACAATAATCGTCATTCCTTGCTCACTTTGCTCATTGAAATTGCATGCCTATTAAGGTAATTAAAGGCAGATGATTTTGTATGTGCAGGAAAAGCTAAGTTTGTTTCGATCTGTGAAAGAATCTACTTCCTAGGTTTCGCAAGTTTCAAACTGTGGAACTGTATAGATGTCTTCAGTTTTAATTATTACTTTGGTTCGGAATAAATATTGCGTATGCAGGAAAAAGTGATAATGGAAAAGGGGGGTGGAAGGCCAAGGGATGATGTGTGGCAACACGTTGAGTTATTGGAGGGAGGACGAAGGGTGAAGTGCAAATATTGTGGCCGGGAATTTGCAGCGAGTGCTAACAGAATCAAATCTCATATTAATGGAGACAAGGGCAAAGGTATTCGAGTATGTCCAAAATTGGTTTCAGACAAAGGGAACTCCAATGCTCTCACAGACAACCTCCCACATTCTCAACGAGGTACTCGTTCTGTTCTTTAATTCTAGCATAATAGTTTGGATCAAACTATAAATCATTTTAGAAGTAATTAATATTGATTTGTTAATTTTGTCTCTGTGATTAACATTTTAATGTAACCCTTTTTATTTTATTTAATATAGATAAAGTTAAAAATAATTTTCATTTTAGACAGATTTAATGAGTCAAATGCCATCTTTTAATTCTAATGAATTAGCTAAAATGACTTAATTATATGCTCCCTCCTATCCTTTTTTTATTCATACAGGGGAATTTTTTTTTGTTTTTTGATTTTGAAGATGTCATATGTGATATTTGTTACATTTCTATCCCACCTTGCCGTTAGTTAAATGTTGACTCAACTATTTAAAGTTACACTATAGAGATTTAAATGAAGACTAAATTAATTAGATACGCCTTTAATTTTCAGACATAGGTGAAGTTTTTTTTAACTCTTGCCTTAGTTCTAGTGTTTTTTTTTTATAAGTCATGCACAGGGGACTTTTTTTTTGGGTTTTTGTAATAAAAAAATCTCATTGGACGGTATATATAATGGATTATAGCATTGTCCAATGAAGCAGGGCAAATCCAAGCTGAAGCTAACTATCAGGAAATGATTCAAGTTGGGTCGTCATCTGTTTCCGTTAGGGAGAATGAAAAGCAAGAAGGCAATAAAAGATTACGGGTTGATGGAGCCAATAGACATGGTCCTTTAGAAAAAGGTACGAGTATCAGCATAAAAAATATATGTCCAACCCATTTTAAATGTCATTTATGAAAATTTAGTAATATTAGTTGAAGTTTTTAAACATTTCAAAATTTTCTTAACCTTTTTTTTTTGGCCAAAAAAATTGTCATAACTTCCAAATGTTATTCCCATTGAATTATAACCCTTTCTTATATATTTCTCTTGGCCTCTCTTCTCCAAAACTTTTTTGATTATTTAATGAGGGAGAAGTGCGGAAAATTATTGAATGCTGCCTAAATTTCACGGTGGCTCTACATTTTGAATTCTTGAGAGTATATATATGACTGGTTAAAATTTAAAAGCCATATCTTTAATTTTATTTTTTATGCTTCTCACTATCTTTACTTAATTATTTGTTACTATTCTTGTCGCTGGAATCTTCCAAAGGTTATATATTGCCTACAACAGATTTAATAGGGGAGGAGTTTCAAAAGTATACTCAACAAATATGGGAATGGATAATGGGTGATGAGGTGTCAGCAATTGGAGTTTGGGGAATAGGAGGCTCAGGAAAAACAGCTTTAGCAGCCCATATTCATGACAAGCTTTTAGAAGAAGCTAATGGTGACATTAAAGTTATTTGGTTGACCGTATCACAAAATATCAACATCTACAAGTTGCAAAAAGTCATAGCTAAATCAATTAAGTTGGATATATCTGATGAGTTTGAGGTTAAAAGAATTGCCAGAAAATTATTGCAATCATTCAAAGAGATGAAAAAATGTGTCATTATTTTAGATGATGTTTGGGATCATTTCTTTCTAAACGACATCGGATTTCCTATGTTAGATAATCGAATTAAAGTGATTTTGACCACCCGTATAAGAGAAGTGTGTCAGGGTATGGGTTGTGAGGAGGTACTAAAAGTGGAGCCTCTAGATGGAGATGATAGTTGGGCTTTGTTTGCTAAGGTTTTGCGATTATTTGGTGAAGAACTGCCTTCAGAACTGGAAAACATTGCATGGAATGTGGCACAAAAATGTGAGGGTTTGCCCCTAGCGATTGTTAGAATCGCCACAAGCATGAAGGGGAAAACGCAGGTTGGAGAATGGAGTCATATGTTGGAATGTCTTGCAAACTTGGGCAATGGGCAATATGAAATGGACAAATGGGTGTTTCCAGTTTTGAGATCTAGCTATGATTTCTTAACTAACAAATTGCAAAGATTCTTCCTGTATTGCGTCTTAAGTACTGATGGATTTTTTTATGATGCGGATGCTGATCATTTGATAAGAAGGTTTGCTTATGAAAGCATTGATGAGACAAAGAAGTTGAGGGTGCAGTATAACGAAGGTTACAACACGTTGTATAAATTAAAAGATCATAGCATGTTGGATTATTATTATGATGGATGGATGATAAAAAAATTTCTTAGAGTCCTAGCTACTGGTATTGTAGAAGACACTGGTAAAATTATGGGAAAAGCTTGTAAGAATTTGACAGAAATACCGAGTGATGACCAATGGAAAGAAGATCTACAGCAAGTTTTTCTAACGGGAAACCATATACAAACAATTCCAAATGGCACATGTCCTAAGTGTACTCAACTTTCGATGTTGGTTTTGAATTATAATATAAAACTCAACCACATCACGGATGAGTTTTTCAACAATATGCCCGCTCTTAAAACACTTGATTTGTCTAAGACTGCAATCCAGCGTTTGCCTGAATCGGTATCCAACTTAATATATCTCATTGCATTGTTACTTTCAGGATGTGGGCAATTGAGGTACATTCCTTCATTAGGAAAATTGAAACGGTTAATATCACTGGATCTATCTTGTACTGCCATCGCTGAGGCACCTTTGGGTTTGGAATCATTGATCAATCTTAGAAGCCTGAATCTACTCGGGACTGATAAGTTGGTAATATCACCATCGCTCATATCCAAACTGATCAATTTAGAGTGTCTTGAGTTGGGCCGGGCCCAATGCTTAACGGACGCCTTAGTACAAAGGGCACAAGGTTTGGGAAAGTTAGAAGTTACACGTGCCTACTTTCATGACATTAGCATCTTCAATGCCTTCATGAGGTTCGTGGCTGAAAATCATGAAATCAGAAGCTATCGATTAACTTTATACCATGAAATTTATTATTTTAGTGATGATGAGAAAATAAACAAAGAATATTCTATGAAAAGCATAATTCTTGAGGGTACGGATTTCAAAATTAGAGAAGCAGTAGTACTCCCAGGAGACATCAAGAATTTGTTTATAGGAGATTGTTTCCTAGGGACAGGTGGTAGATCCCTATGCAATATTTTATCATATGCCCACTACGATAATCCGCACCAAATTGAGTTGTTGAATATTGAATTCTGTGAAGATACGGAGTACTTGTTTTGTTGCAGTTGCCCCTTTTGCTCCTCTTCCCGACTCGTTGGACGTCTACGCCTCTGGGAAATGAACGACTTGAAAGATTTGGTGTCGCCATCTGCTGATTCCTTGCATCAGTCCACCCTATTTTCTCATCTCACACATCTCCGAATTTCGGAATGTGGCAGCATGAAGACTCTGATGCCGTTTAGGTTATTGGCACTTCTACAAAACCTGCGCACCATTTGCGTTCAGTTTTGTAGGCGGATGAAAGAAATAGTTGGAGAGGATCATTCTGTAATGGAACTTACTGCTAGTGGCGACCTCAGGGCCCTCTCTCACCCTACTATCACTCTTCCCAACTTGACATCTCTGGAATTAGACAAAATGCCAGAATTAGATTTCGTATACAGGGGCATCATGCTCTGCCCTTCTCTCCAAAAATTCGATGCTTATTTTTGCTGGAAACTAAATCCCCCTCAGATAGCGATCTCAAATAATGGAAGTGTGCTTCTGATGGAGAAGAACTTATGGGCTAATTACCATTGGCGAAAGTGATTAATCAGGTCCATCTCCGCTCCACTCTGACTTACTTTTATACTATGTTTATGATGAATATCGTTACTGCTTGTGTTTATTTCTCCTCGTGCTTCAAATAATCATTCATATGTTTCCTTTTGTCTTCTTTATTTCTCTCCATCTGCCTGCGTTGTACTTGATTTTTGTGATCATCGCTAACCTTGCACTCTCATATCAGTTTCTGAATGCCTGCCAACAAGGACAATTAATGTTCCAATAATTGGCATTTTGTTTGTTATAAATTACTACATCGAATATCATAAATAAATCTCAACAAAAGGAAGCCAATTTGTAGGATATAAAATCTCATCATCTCTCTGTTTTTTTTTTCCCCATTTGAATGTTCGAAGCGTGCACCAGCGCTACTACTCAATCCGGGATATTAATCATTGTGAATATATCTCATCTCCCAAGTTGCTCGTGATATTTTCAATTATTCACTCAGTGAAATATAGTTGCAAAGTTGTTTGTCGCATGTGTCTCAATTATCCTCATTCTTTTTTGTAATGTCAAATGCAGGACAGGGTTTTTGCCGCGTGAGACGCTGAAAGTGATGAGTTAAGCCATCATTTAAGAACTTCTTTTGATTCTATATTTATATTGTCTTCTTCTATGTTTGTTCAACTACACTATTTTAATCGGTACATTTACGATGAAACAAAGTTTGTAATGCAACTACTTGCTTGTTTTAACTAAACTATTTGTTGGAAGAATGACACGAACACTTATTCAAGGGAATTATTTGTATTGAACTCAAGACGAATTACATAGGCAAATTTACATATAAACTCTGAATATGGGACTTGTTTATGAATAAAACCTTGCAAATTTTACTAAAATACTTTCAATTATCTTAAAATTGGTTGTACTCAGTTTCTACTTGCAGGGCAACATTTTCGAGAGTGACTTGTTTCGATTTATAAGACAAATTAGAAAAGTTGAGAATTATTTAGTAATTTTTTTTTATTATCAGTGACCTGAGGGAGAAAATGTGGCTCATTATAAAGGTTCCTATATCATAATTACAATGAGTCCGTCTTTTTCTAATTTATCTCTTTACAAATTAACATAGCTCGATCTAATAGGCGCGCTAATAGTTGACTGGGAAAATATATCTTTAATATCATCATTTTTTATCATTTTAGAGACAGTAATTTATTTTTTTTTATTTTTTTATTATGTACTGTAATATTTGAAATGAAACCATTTATCAATTCTCGTTTAGTTGTCAACGTTTTTGTTTAACTGAAATCATTATAATTTTATATGCATTAGATTGTACATATTTTCAACATTTAAAATATAAGTATTCCAATGACAAATAAAAATTGATTGCAAACTTTTAAAATTTTTAAGTCACAAATTTAAGTATATGCACACGGAATATCTATTCTTCAAGATACTATATCTATTTCGTCATCATGAATCAAAAAGCTGACTTTGGGGAAAAATCATATCGTACTTGTAGTTGAATTATTTTCAAAATTAATGTTTAAAATTTAGTCAAACTTGAGAAGAAAAAATCGAAAGATACCATATGAATGGCAACAGAAAGAAAGAAACAGAATTAACCTCTTTTGAGAAATAATGTTGTAACAAGAACTGACGATTAATTATAATTATAAATGGATAAATAAACAGTAATGTTTTATGTAAATAATATGTTTTATATAGAATTGGGAAACAGGCATAAGAATATCCAAAATACTATTTAAGAAAAACAGGCACACATCAGTACTCCAAGTGTGACTCTGTTTCCAGCAGGCCTGCATTATCTTCACTTTATACAGTAAACCAAATTATTTAATCCAACATAAGTCAACATGAAGACGACAAATCAATCAGACATCGAAAGGCAATATTGGGTTCTTATCAATTTCTATTTTAGTAGCTGCCAGCACCATGAGAGACAGAGATCTTTCTTCTTATCGCATGTTAAATGATCTCTACAGTGTACATATATATTGCCGTTGCTTGCTTGTGAAGTAGCAGAGAGTTAAGCTTGTGAATTGAAGGAAGAGAGATTTGAGATTGCAGCAGAGAGAGAGACAGAGAAGGGAGATGGAAGGAAGTAAAGGTGGTGAAGTGAGAAGGATTCATGTAGTGTACTTCCTCAGTTTGATGGGTCGTTCTGAAGAACCACATCTCATACATATTCATCATCTGGCTCGTAACGGAGTCTATCTTCGAGGTGGCTTCATTTTCCTGTTTCTTTCACCGCATATTTGTTAGACTTAAGAAAGTTGCTCTCACTTTTGACCTCTGTACTTGGTACTTTGTTTCTCACTTGCACGTCATAATTTGTTGATTCTCACCTCTAATGTTATACACTTCTCTCTTCTGTCTTTTAATACTCTGTTTCTTTAAGGTTTTAGAGTTGTCTTTAAAACATGAAAAACCACATTATTAAGTGTTTTTTTTTTGTACGTAAAGATTTAGTTAAATCAATAGATAACAATTACGGTTTATGTGATGGTTGGTTTACAAATTACAAGCTCCTCTGTCTTTCTGTGTAGTGGCATGTTCTTGCTTTTAGAGGTCATGATTTATGAACTTTGTTTATGTGATAAAAGATGTGAAGAGATAGATTGGAGAAGTGAGAGGGAAGGATTTGATAGAGACATATGCATGGTCCTACAAGAGGTAGAATGAATAGCATCTTCATACTCTGTTTTTTATTTTGAATGAGTTGAAGTGTGTGATTTGTGGATTCAAATTTTAAGCAGGAGATACAAGACAGGTTACGTGTGGCAAGACTTGTTAGATGATGATCTTATTACTCCAATCTCTGATAATGAATACGTCCTTAAAGGATCTCAAACGCACCGTCCCTCTTTTGGTATGTCCTTCAAATGAAATAATGGAGTGTTGTCATTTGGTAATATTTTTCAAAACGAGTTATGTAAGTATTTGTTGAGAAGCCTCTTTGATTATGCAGAAACTTTTATATTTGGTGAAAGGAAAGCTTCCATATTGAACAAGGAGATTCATGTTCAAGTGCATGATACAGAAGGCAAACAGTTGAAGCAGAAGCAACCATTGATACCAGAAGAACTTCAACTTCAAAGATTTTTATATTTCAAACCAAATTCTCAGGATCAACCATCATCAGAAATAAGCTCTAATAGGTCTATATTGGCAGAAGAAAGTGAATCTTGTAAAGCCGAACCAGACAAACTCGTGGACACAGGCAAACACAACCCAGAGACATCATTTTCAATTTCATTATCTGCTTCTTCTTCTTCTTCATCATCATTATTTCCCTTGAAAGGAAGTAAGAGGTTTCCAACAGGAGCTTCTGGCTTGTTTCGCAACTTGATCACCTGTGGAGCCTTAGATCCAAACGACGACGTTGTGGTCATGCTGAACCAAGCTCATAAAACTGTTTCTGAGAACTCTAACACCCTCGATGATGGTAATGTTAACGCACAGATTCGCAAACATGATAGATTTGGAGGATCAGCCTGGAATCTTGGAAGTTGTTGGAATCCCCAGCAGGAGCATGATGAAGCGGGGTAAGTAAATAAAAAATTGGGCCTAGAATATTTCAAGTTACAAATTATGACAAAAATCGAAGTTTTTCTTCATAACATGAGCCTTCATATTTGCAGAAAAAGCTGTGATGAGAAGAGCACAACTAAGAACAAGAAGCTAGGCAAGTTTCTGAGTCAGATTTCTCACAGACCATTTGGAGGGTCAATTTTCTCTAGATGAGAAGAGCCAGAAAACACACAAAAAATACGCTGTAGGGAAGAAAAACAGGGCATGTTTGGAACCAAAAAGCCCATTAGGGCGAAAGATCCGTTTTGTTGGACCATTTTATACAGATTTCAAAGTTCCATATAGTCATGCAATTTTTTTAAAAAAATGTCGAAATGACAATTCTTCTTGACTTCATCAGATGTTTTATGTTACATGTTAATTAAACTAAATTAAGAATTTTAATCTGTCTTCGACCTCTACTTTTGATTTGCAGCTACAATTCTTCTGTCCGCCACCAATTTTGGGGCTGGGCTTTTTTTAAAAAAAATTAAAAATTAAATTCCAGTCATAATCTAAAATTTCATAACCTATATTAATTAATTCAACCTTTAAAAATCATTATATATACTACACTGTAGTCTGGTGGTCAAACCTTTTTTTTTTTTAAAAGGAATTCATTCTCATCACCATGATAGCGTTGAAGCTTAAGCTGACCTCCTCGACTTTTCCAAGTGTGAATTATGCAGAATCAATGGCTGCTTCTATATTCAGAACATTTGATTCATCTCCTATCATCATTTACCATTTATAATGTTTTTTTTATATAAAAAGACAATTTTATATACCAAATAAAAAAAATACTATCTCTGATTCTTAATATAAGAGTTAGTTGACTAATTTGGATATATTAAGAAATTTTATTAAGTTAGTTATTTGTAATAAATAGATATTATTTTCCTTAAAACCCTTGTTAATCATGTATGTTAACTAAAACTATTATTTGATAAAATATTTAACATGTGTAACTACTATAAGAGCTACTTTAAAAAAATGAATAAATATGAGAGACAAAGTGAATTAGGGTCTCATACTTAGGATCAAATTAAAAGTCAAATTAATTCTTATATTAAGGACTGGAAGTAGTATTACAATACAAAGTGTATATAGGGACAAACATAAGAAGAAAATAAGTTCATAAATTGAGGTTTGATGAGTCTTTTATTCATCTCCCAACTGAAGACAATTTGCCATTAATTCTTTGATGAGTCTTTTGAATTTGAATTTACATCACAGACAAAGGTGCCAGTGCCACAGCTTCTTGTCTTTGGTTGCATTTGGAGCTGCTATGGTCTTTTCCCCCTATGTTTTTTTATTAATAATAAAATGCGCAAAATATTTTATTTAAAGTTATCATATTTTGACACTAATATTAAATTGTAAATTAACATAAATTGCATGGTGAGTATCTGTAAGAGATAGTGCGAAAAAGAAAACCA